CTTCCTTCCTTCCTTCCTTCCTTCCTTCCTTCCTTCCTTCCTTCCTTTCTTCTCTTCCCTTCCTTCCTTCCTTCCTTCCTTCCTGAAGATTTTGTTTTATTTATTTAAAGATTTATTTATTTTATATATGTGAGTACACTGTCTTCAGACACACCAGAAAAGGGCATCAGATTCCATGTACAGATTCATTCCACCAGTTGCTGAGAACTGAACTCAGGACCTCTAGAAGAGCAGTCAGTGCTCTTAACCACTGAGCAATCTCTCCAACCCCTTGTTTTACTTTTTTAATTGTGTGTGGATGTTTGGGGGTGGAGTGGAGTTGTACACATGAGTGCAATGCCTTTGAGGCCAGAGGAGACTTTTGTTTCTCCTGGAGCTGTAGATAAATCTTACTTTCCTCCTCCTGCTTCTCCTCTTCTTTCTCTTTTCTTCTTCCTCCTCTTCTTCCTCCTTCTCTTCCTCCCTCCTCCATCCTTGTCAGCATCTTTTAGTCTATTCAAGACAGGGTTTCTCTGCGTAGCCCTGGTTGTTCTGGAAGTCATTCTGTAGATCAGGCTGTCCTCAAACTTGAAATCTGCCTCTGAAATGCAGGGATTAAAAGAATGCACTACCTGCTCAGCTGTATGTTACTTTTCTGTTGGTGTGACAAAATACCTTGACCAAGGCAACTTACAAAGGAAAATATTTAACTTGGGCCTCGTGGTTCCAGAGAGTTAGAGTCTGTGCATATCATGACAGAAAGCATGGCAGCAGGCATGGCGCTGGAGCAGTAGCTGGAGTCATAGCAGTAGCTATTCAAAAACAGGAGGCAGAGAGATCTGTGAATGGCAGAGACTCCAACTTTGTACTGTTCTGTTGTGGACTCTTTTCTTTTTACTTTTGCCATCATGTGCCTTCAGCCATTTTGATTTGTTGTATTTTAATTTTCCGTTAAAGGTAATATATAAGTTGAAGTTTGTAGACCTAATCTGAGTGTGTTTGGGAGGTTTTGTTTGATTGTTTGTTTTTAATTGTCCTGGCATTTGAATCCAGGGTTTTGTGCCTTCCAGGACAGGGTTTTGTACTATTGAGTATTGCCATAACTCTTTAATTTGATTTTTAAATAAAAGAATTAAATTAATTAATTAAATTAATTAAAAGAATTTTTAGTTCTTTCTTTTTCTTAATTTTATTGACAATCTTGCATTTGAAGTACAAGCATTATTTATGTAAGTGGAGAGTGGCTAAATAATTCAGCAGGAGCACACGTCTTGCAAGTAACAGAAGTGACATTTAAGCCTCAGGAGTTACCTCATCTTCATGCTGTCTCCAATTCCTTTTGCCCTAACCCTAATTGCAAGTTTCTTCTAGGTTTTTAAAAAGCAATGGTGATGTGATTTGGCTTTCAAAGATGGAGTTATTAGTAATATTAAGTACTGTTTGATTAACCAAAGCAAAACAAAATAAGAAATGATGCTCTGTCTTGAGTGTGCTGTTGTCATTTCTGAGAGACTTTGCATACCACATAGTCTGCAGGCTGGGGACCCTAGGGTGCAGCATGCATAGCTAGATGACTTTAAGTTGCCAAGGCGAGGTTCAGAGTGCACGGCATAGCACACACGCTGACATATAAGCCACCCTTCTTCACACACTCTCGAGGTAGCTGGAGACATGCTCTGCTCTGAGAAAGCTCAGTGAAGTCTCAAACAACAAGGTGGCTGTAGTAGCCATGACAGGGTCGTGACAGCTTTTTTCCCTAAGGCTTTAGTAGGAAACTGCCAATTAGAAGAGTCACTTACTGATATCCACGAATTCTTCATGTCTTACTTTGAAATATGAGAATAGTGCTTTTTCTTCAGGAGATGAAAATTTATCTTTGGCTTGAACATTTGCATCTGCTTGTTAAACTTACTGTTGGTATTTTACCTTGCAATGAATAAATATCCATCCTTTCATACTGAACCATTTGACTCAAGTTATTTTTCTCTTAAGATTAATTTTCATTCTGGCTTTCTTTGTATATTTCTGTCCCCTACACATGCCTAATCTTCATCCTGTCTAAGAAGCATGTCTTGGAAATTTGCTTTTTCTACCTAAAGCATGTGAAATTGTAAAATACTTTGGTAGCTTGGCAGAGGTGCCCTGGTTTGCTCAAGTTTGCCAGTTTGCATCTCATGGCTTTTGACATGAGCTGCGTCTTTGACTTCCTCAGTCTATTGTGCTGTAAGTGATTATGGCAGAGTTTCCACATTAAAAACTCTTTAGCTTCTAGTCACCTGGTTAAGAGGAACTACAGCAATGACAGTATTGTCCTCAAACTTATGTAATTAGTTTGAGCTGGTTCCTTGATAATTGTTTTATTGTTCTTAATAAAGTAGAAGCCAGACTACTGCAGTCAGCCACTGTCTGCACAACTTGCTAGCAGTCTGATTTGGGGGCATCTTGTGTAACAACAGTTCTCCTTATTTATAAGATTGAGGAGATATAACAACCTCTGGCTGTTTATGTAGATTCTATATGACAGTGAATAAAAGTATAGACTACAAACTAAAAAAAAAAAAATACAAACTTAAACAGTTCATAGACCTGTCATCAAGGACTTTCTATTTTATTGGAAACTGAATAATCTTGTTTTTTAAAACTTGTGGTTTGAAGGCTGGGAGCTCAGCTCAGTCCGCACTGGGGACTTACCTACATGTACATGGTCCTGGTTTCACTCAGTGCAGAAAAAGCGATGTGGGTTGACATATCCAAAATTCAGCAGTTTAAATAATGAAATAAACTGTAAGTCCTAACACATCAAAGACAGGGAAGAAAGTACTATTCCCTGGCATTTTTGTTTAGATATGTACATATTTGTGACATTGAGTACTAAGTCTGATTTTTTTTTTTGGTTAAATCTAATTTTTAATCACATTAAAGCTTTTAAAATTATAAAGTTTAAGGTGGACATAATGGAAAGTGCCTGTCGTCCTAGTACTCTGGAGTCTGATCCAGGGGGATTGCCAAGCTCAAGACTAGCCTGGTGCTGTGTCTTCTAGTGTGTGTATGTGTGTGGTATAATTTTTCTTTATGTTTTTACTTATAGGAAATACCTGTTCTTTATTTTAGACAGTTTGGCAAGCATCTAATCACAATCACAGGATTGACGCTCAGTTTTCAGTCTCATACTTTTTGTGACCTTTGATGACAATTAAGTCTTAAAATAGGCAGTGCTAATGTATTTTCACATTGCTTCTTTTTAAGGATAGTATTTCCTGTAGTTGTCGTTCAAATGGCCCTTGGGAAGTTGCTTTATTTCAAGTGGTACTGTCAGTTTCGTGTGCATCTTTCTTTAACTCACTGTATGCTTTGATTTTTGACTCTTAAAGAGTTTCTTTCTATTTTTTTTAATGTTCTCTGAAAGATAGCCTAACTTTGTTACCATTTTGATTTTAGCACAATGGTACTGATTCTGATTGTCCAAATGAGAGAATAAGCCTTTGCTTTTTAAAAAAAGATTTATTTGATTATTTATTTATTATATATACAGTATTCTATCTGCATGTGTGTCTGCAGGCCAGAAGAGGGCACCAGACCTCATTATAGATGGTTATGAACCACTGTGTGATTATTGGGAATTGAACTCAGGAACTCTGGAAAAACAGATAGTGCTCTTAATCTCTGAGCCATCTCTCCAGCCCAAGTCTCTGCTTTTTATGCCATTAAGTCTGTGGTGGCTGTTACAGTCACTGCATCCAAAATACATGGTAGCCTGTTTGATTTGGATCTCAAACAACTATGCCTGACTTGGGGTCAGAATTTGTGTTATTTTACTGATAATGATTGCTTACTAGTTATTGTTTTGTTGTTGTTGTTGTTAGACAATTCATGTCGGTGCTATTTGTTGTGAATTACATTGTCTGTTTTTCTTATGTTTCTCTAGGCTGCCAAACTTTTTGATGAAGAAGGAAGGAAAAAATTCTTTACACAAGATATGAATAATATTCTTCTAGAGTAAGTGATTTTTATCTTTTTCATTTTAAACATGGACTGGGAATAAATCTCAATGATAGAATACCTGCCTAGCATTCATAAGGTCCTAAGTTTAATTCCTAACTGGAAAGAAAGAAAAGAGAACAGAGGAGGAACTTCGCAGCTGCTGAGGATGTCCTTAGTAAAGAGCTTGCTTAGCATGCTTGAAGCCTGGGGTTTGCATCAACTGGGTGTGGTGGTACATCTATAATTCCAGCACTTCAGAAGTGAAGGATGGACAGTTGAAGGTCACCCTCAACTAGATTGTGAGTTCAAGGTCAGCCTGGGCTACCCTATCTCAAATAATAAACTAATTAATAAAAAACTTTGCAGGAGCAGTGGTATATGGCTCTAATCTCAGCACCAAGAGGCTGAGGCAAAAGGACTAGAAATTTGAGGATAGCTGGGGATCTAAGTTGAGAGTTGATGAGGTGGTTCAGTGGATAAAATACTTGGTGTGTAAGCTTGTTCTTAGTTTGAACCCTAAACCCAGATGAAAGGAGAAAGCCCACTCCTAGTATTATCCCTTGAGCTCCACACACTTGACTTGCATTCACCCACATCTGTACACATACACTCACACTATACTAAGTAGGTGGTTGAGGGCTAAGAATATAGTTCAACTGGTATAGTTCTTGCCTTTAATTTATAAAATAAAGATCTGGATCAAATTCCCCAGTACTGCATAAAACTGAATGCATGGTACTTTATACCTATTGTTTTTCATTATTTATAATTAGTTGCAGTTTGTTATCTTCATACTTAAAAAATAGGCTCCTCAAACATAAGTGTGTTTCTAGTGGAGCAGCAGTAGAGTTCTTTCTCAGTCTCGGTTTTTCAGGTTGAATGCTGGTGTGTGAAGAGGTGCGTGACTGGTCCTCCCTGTGCTGATTAGGTTACTTATAACTCCAGAGTCCCTAGTGCAGATGTTGTTGTCCAGGTTCCAGAAGGAGATTTCACTAGCTGTTGTTTCCTTCCTCATATACTATACTAGATCAACTCTTTTCTCATGGCTAATACTGGCTTTTCACTCTTTCCCTCCTTTCCCACTCCATTTCACTGTTCTCTAAGAGGGGAAATGTATTTTCCCCCAGGGAGAGCCAGGAGCCCATCCTTGTGCTCTGGCAGCACAGGTAGACATACTATTAGCATTCCATTACAAGGCTTCTCTTTTCATTCTTTCCCCATCTGTCACAAAACAAATCTCTTAATTGGAAGCTCATGTACTTTAGTTTCTTTTTTAAGGATATATTTATTTGTATTTCATGTGTATTATTATGCTTTATAAAAAAAGAAAGAGCCAAGGATATTTCTGATAGAGGCAGGTATGGTGAGGTGGGAGGGTACCTCGGCAGCCTTGTGCTGAGGCATCCCTTTCCCCTGAGGTAGCAGCCACACACAGCAGATATAGTGTGGAATAGAGTTTATTTAGGGCATGGGAAGGAGAGTTGAGGGAGTAGAGACAGAAAAAGACACGGTGGGGGGAAAAGAGGGAGGGAGGAGAAAGGGGTGAGGAGGAAGAGGAGAGGCCAGCCAGGAGCTTTTGGAAAGAGAGGGGGAGGGGGAAAGAGGGAGAAAGGGGTCAGGGAGAGAATAGAGTTATAGAGAATAAGAGAGTGAGGAAGGAAGGGGTGGGCTGGAGATGGCTCAGTGGTTAATAGCACTGAATGTTCTTCCTGAGGTCCTAAGTTCAATTCCCAATAACCACGTGGTGGCTCACAACCATCTGTAATGGGATCTGATGCATTCTTCTGGTGTATGTCTGAAGACAACTACAGTACATTTGTATAAATAATAGTAAATAAATAATATTTTTTTTTTAAAAAAGAGAGAGAGTGAGGAGGGCAAACAGCCCCTTTTATAGTAAGCCTGGCCTGCCTGGCTGTTGGCAGGTAACTCCTGGGTAGAGCCTAGAAGGAATGCCAACAGGTATTTTGCCTGCACATATGTTACTGCACCATACATGTGCCTTGTGCCCAAACAGTTCAGAAGAGCTTGCCAGATTCCTTTGAATTAGAGTTGCACACAGTTGTTAGGCACCATGTGAGTGTTGTGATTCACACTGGGTCTTCTGGAAGAGAGTTAGATCCCTTAACCGCTACACTGTCTCTCCAGCTCCTCCTCACACCATTCATTCTTCCAGTCCTCAGACTTGGAGCTGACTGGTTTTCCGTAGTCACTTTTTATTGTTTCTGGCCTTTCTCTGTTCTCAATCCACATGCTTTACTTTTCTAGACAGAGTTGCTGTTGTAATAGCTCTGACGATTATTCGAAGAGAATCCCTTGACATTACCCAGATGCATTGGCCTCAATATTTCTTCCTTTTGTTGATGAGCAAGATTAGTTTCATGGTTCACCTTTTTTTTCATAGTTGAATTTGACCTGAATCAACAAGTGTCCATAACATACTCACTTACTTTCTTCCCTGTTGGCGGAAGCAGGCATTCCTAATAGACAGCGGGCTTCTGCCTGCGTAGCGCTTCCACTCAGATTGCACTAGCTCTGCACTTGCTGTTTGCTGACATGAAAACCAGGGACTTTTTACATTTTCTCCTTGAGTCAGTCTAGACTTTCTTACATAGAATAGAATCTCTTTGTACTTGGACAGTTTGTATTTTACTTTCAGGTACAACTAACTTGTAACAATAAGACAAGTCTAGAGGAGCCTAGGCCCCTAGTAACTGTCTAGCCAGATGGCACCAACCAAGCATTTCTGAGTAGCACTCACGACCATGACATTTCCCCATGTTGGTGTTTGTATTTAACCTTCTATTCACATTTGGTTTTTTTTAATACCAGGGATTTTTTTTATCCAGTTCTAAAAAATATGATTTTGTCTGTTCTTTTTTTTTTCTAAAATTACAATATATCTATTTTTTTTTCCCTTTGGTTTGTTTTGTTTTTCTATGTAGCACTGGCTTTGTAGACCAGGCTGTCCTCAAACTCACAGAGATCTGCCTGCCACTGCTTCCTGAGCACCAGGATTAGAGGTCTACCCAACTGCTACCCAGATGAAATTTAAGTATATCTTAGAGGTGATAAATTCATTTGATATGGATAGTTTTCTAGTCTCCCTGTATTTGTCCAACAATTATCTATGGTGATTTGGACATAATTTGTTACAAAGAACCCCAGTTTCTTTTACTTTCTTAATTTTTTTGTTTTGACACCAGTCTTGCTGTGTAGCCTTTGCTGGCCTGAATCTCCTACATAGACCAGGCTGGCCTTGAATTTAGAGAAATCTATGGCACCTCTTTGTGAGTAGGATTAAGTGTACATCATCAACCCAGCTCAGAGCCTTCAATAACGGCCTTCAAACTGACATCTGGTTTGTTTTGTTTTCCCTCTTTTTTCAGTAGCAGCTGCCAGTTATAATCGTTTCCATTTTGAGAGACACCTTGCTTATTAATATTTTCTCTGTGTTAAATGTGGTAATTATTACAAGCTTTGCTGGTTTACTTTTAAAAGAGAAATCAAGTGAGAAGAGAAAAATATTAATCCTACTGAATGAGATTTAAAGACACCAACCCAAAGTTTTTGGTCAAATTAAGCAAGCTTTATTTCTGTCAGACAGGGCTATCTCCCTAAAATGGGGTTTAAGAAAAATAGCATTGGACATAGGAGAAAGTAGGGCTTATGTAGCCCAAGAAAATTCAAGACTAAGGAGTTTCCTAGAGTTTTTGATTACATAGGAACTTGGCAGTCCTGGAATTCTTTTTGTAAACAAGACTAGCCTCAAACTTAGAGACTGCCTTCCTCTGCCTCTCAAGCACTGGGATTACAGATGTCCATCACTACACCTGGCTCAAGGCCTGGTTTTCATATGTGAAATGTGTTAATCAGTCAAGCTGTTGCTAAATTGATAAAGACACAGTTAGCCATCAACATCATCAGAGATATAAGAGAGATAAATTATAGCAGGAAATATCAATTAAAGTGACAAGAAGCTTAACACTACTTAGACAATTATCCTAGACTCCAGTGATAATTTGTTGGGGGTAGAGGTCTGTCTTCAGCTGTCACATAGGACAGCATTGCATGTTCAGCTGCTGCAAAGATGGGGTAGGCCTTTGGCTGCCAGACCTACAGGGTCTGAGAGATTTTCCTGGGGATGAAGAACTTGGTCAAATTGGCCTCCCTTGACTTAGGCAGAGTAAGGCAGTCAACCCAGCAGTGCCCACAGTTTGTGTAGGTCTGTGCCTCAACCGTTGCCTTTAACCTTATGGTTACCTCTAGGAGCTGACATTTCTATCTATTATAGGAATATTTTTTCCATTAAATAGATTTAATGTCATATTCAGTAGAACTCTGTAAAGTTGTGAGGGCCATTTATTAAGTATACCTGATTTTAAATAAATTTTACTTGATTTTAGTTATTTGTTTTAAGTTTAACCTTGAAAACATACAGGAATCTAAACAAAGTTCCTATAAATTTGTATTTAACATGACTACAAGTATAGTTTTGGACATATTAAAAATTTGGTTATTTATAAGGTAACTTATTACTAGCTTTCATATTTTAATTATCTTTAACAGTTTACAAGCTACTTGCTTTTTAAAAGATTAGAAATTGTATTTTATCCCTGTTAGGTTTAGCTTTAAAGAATTACAACTTTTGAGTTGAAGCTCTTTTGAGTATCAAAATGAACTTTAAGTCATGAGACTGGCAACTTTATCTTCCTGGTCTTTTTATGATGCATCATTATAGACGATCATAGTCTCTTGTCTGACTCAGTTTATCAAAATAGCTAAAGCCTAATAAAAGGGAGAGGCAAAGAGACTATATATCTATATCTATATCTATACATACACACATATGTTCCTAAGTTAGTTTTTTTAGCCTGAATAAACTTTTAAGTAAGGAAAGACATTCTATAGGCTCTTTGCTAGACTGCTTAGGTTATTGTCCTGCTGCATTTTAAGATAGGAATATCCTAGAGCACCTCTGGTAGCCCTGTTATATCTCTTAACAGAGAAGAAACAAGGCAAAACCAAACTTTAACAATGTAAACAACTCAGTGCTTAATATCTGGGACTCATTTGTGATCATTTGGGTTCCTGTAAGGGGCCCAGGTCACCTCTCTGGCTCTACCCTTGACAGCATCCTGTATAGCCTACCCCCTAGGCTCCAATTGACTTCATTTCATTATGGCTGCTGTTTTTGATGGTCCTCATATGGCACTGGTATTTCCAAATTTGCTTAGATCCCTCACTGCAATTGGGCTGCATTTTCCTCAGTAGTCTTACCTGGACTCCAGGAATTCTACTCCTGCCGTATAGTGCCAAGGTTTAACTGCTCTCCATGACCCTTTCAGGCCTTTTAAAACTAGTACCATTTTGTTAACTCTTACATTACAAAGTTTGGTTGCCAACATAAGATACATTTTTGGATATAAATGCATGGAGGTGCAGCTTTAATATTTTATTAGCAAATTTTGTTTAATCTAAGTGGAGTTGACTAAACTGGTTAGTTGGACAATTATAGGAACTTGGTGTTGGGCCAGTCCCTGGGCATTGGTTTCTACCCATACCCTTTACTCTTTGTTTTATAGTCCAACCGTATCTTTTGATTGGGGACAGGACTTTCAGATAGAAGGTATTCTTCTGACATCAGGTATCCTCACTGTCCCAGGCAGGATCCCAGCAGACCAGTACCAGATGTCATAGAAGGAGATGCCTGACTATGACTTTATGATGGAGGCCTCCTCAGACAGATTCTTGCTGATTTCTTTTTGTGTGACAATTCTAACAATCTGCCAAACAGAAAGTATGCCTTGGGGCCTTGAATTATCTTCAAAGTGCACACCTCCTAAGGCAGCAGTCTGCTCTGAATTTGGGTTGGAGTCTTGATCTCTCTGGTGCCTCCAAAAGTTATTAATCCCAGCTAATGAGAGTACAGACCACCGAACCAAAATTTTTGATCATTAAGCAAGCTTTACTTTCTGTCAGGCAGGGCTATCTCCCTAGAGTCAAGTCTGAGAAAATGGCATTGAGCATAGGAGGCAGTAGGGATAATGGAGCTCAGAGCCTGCAGGACTGGGGTTTCCAAGGATGGTGCTTCCCCAGGAACTCTCAGAACGTCTCAGCAGGGTGCAGTTGAAGGTGTAGGATATGGAACATGTCAAATTCCAGAAAATGGATGGAGACATGGTCAAATTTAAGTTATATAGAAAACTGGAAGGAATTTATCTTGACCTTGTAACAAGATGGCTTCTAATCTTAAGATTGAGTTAGGCTGGTCTGTCAAAATAAAATAGCTACTAGACAAAATGCAGATTTAACAATTAGTTTTCTGCTCCAAAAAAGGAAGCATGGCCGATCATTTACAATAAATTGAGTAAACTATTAAGTAGCTCACAGTCATAGTAGGGAAACAAAAATGAAGAAACGGCATGAACATGTAGCTGGGTATGAGGGGCTTTACCTTTTCAGATACCTTCAGGGAAAGGATTGTACGAACTGTGGGGAATGCAGTTTTGGAAACATCTACCTTTGTTTCTTTTTTCTTCCCTCCCTCTCTCCCTCCCTCCCTCCCTCCCTCCCTCCCTCCCCCCCTCCCTTCCTCCCTTCCTTACTTCCATATTTTGTTTGTTTGATTGATTGACTTTCAAAAGAAGGTTTCTCTGTGTAGTCCTGGCACTTGCTTTGTAGATTAGGTTGGCCTGGAACTCAGTGACCTGTCTCTGCCTTTGCCTCCCTACTGCTTGGACTAAAGGTGTGTGTCACCACCACCCAGCTCCTTTATGGCTTATATGGTGCTATGTAAAAGGGATTCTGTGTTGTTTACTGTTGTGTGGTTTTTGTTGTTTTGTTTTTGGCAGCATCGAGTTACAGCTACAAGAACTAGGTCCTGTCATTCGTAGTGGTGTCTACTCCCATCTTGAAGCATTTGTGCCATGCAATAAGGAAACACTGGTAAAACGTCTAAAGAAATTGCATCTTAATGTTCAGGTAAGTGGAAGAGCAATTGCTACAGCTTGTGTTTTGTAACCAGTAAGCAAGAAAATGTTTGCTCAGTCTTTGCACATCTGTCACTTTATAGTTCTATTTGCATATCTTTAATAAACATGGCATGTTACTAAAGGTGTTTGAGAACTCCGTCTTTAGGGTTGTCCTCTGAACTTCACAAATACACCATGGCATGAGCAGTAACATACACATGTACACACGGGGGTTGATATGTGAGCACATAAATTATTTTTTAAATTTTATTTCAACAGTTGATAGGTTTAGAGGAGAGATACTGATATCTAAGGCATAGATTCTTGGACTAGAAAGTCAATGTAGTAGGCACCACAAACAATTCTTTATTAACGCACTGATTTCTGTTAACGAAGAGGTTTTTTTGAATTGAGAAATTATTGTTCCTTCTTGATTCAAAGCAAGTTAGTGAATAAAGAAATTGTATTGCCATCTCATATCTTGTGGTTTTGCTGACAACTTCAGACATTGGCAGTTGGAGCCAAAATTCAAATGATAAAAATAAGTAACTGATAAAATAGAACTAGAAGTAGAAACACTTTTTAGTTTCTGTATTTTGAAACAGAGCCTCACTACGTAGCTTTGGCTGGCCTAGAGCTCACTGTAGACAGCAGGTTGGCCTTGAAATTACAGAGATCCAGCAGCAGTGCTGGGATTGAAGGTATGCACCACCATACCCAACCCAGAGAAATACCATTTACATAGTATAAAACACTTTATTTTCCTTTTTGAAAAGGACATAAGACCTAAACTAACCCAGATTTAGTAGAGTTTACATTTAGGTGCTGGGACTGTAGGCCTTCACCATTTTGCTTGTCTTTGTTAGTGTTTATTTTAATTTTCTGAATGAATATTCTGCCTGTAGTATATTGGTGTACCATGAATGTTCATAGTGCCCACAGAGGGCAGAGTGTTAGGTTCCCTGGAATTGGAGGCAAAGGTTGTTGCTAGCTGCCATGTGGGTTAGGGGAACAGAATCTGGGTCTATCTTTCCCATGTGTCTTTCCTTTTTTTTTTTTTTCTTTTCCCTTTCCTTTCCTTTCCCTTCCCTTCCCTTCCCTTTCCTTCCCCTTCCCCTTTCCCTTTTCTTTTTCTTTCCTTTTTCCTTTCCTTTCCCTTTCCTTTTTCCTTTCCTTTACATTTCCTTTCTTTTCTTTCCTTTCCTTTACCTTTCCTTTCTTTCCTTTCCTTTTTCCTTTCCCCTTTCTCCCTTTCCCCCTTTCCCCTTTCCCTCTTTCCCCCTTTTTCCCCTTTCTCCCCTTTCCCCTTCCCCCCCCTTTCCCAGCAGTGGGACCAGCAGCATCAGCTTTAGTGCTTTAATAGCAGAATTCTGGAGGCAGAGGCCAGCCTCTTCCATCTACATGGTGACTTCCAGGACAGCCAGAGCCACATAGTAAACTCTATCATAAAAACAACAACAGAAATAAACAAAATATTTTTAGAGAAACTTTTGAAATTTGATATTTGAAGTTATTTAATATTCCATTGGATATGAGAGAAAGATGCCATCTATCTTGTCCTTGTTGGTATTTACATAAGCTTTGTCACACCACATCTATCCCTAAACGTTGTATTGTAAGCTTGACATTGTTTGAGCTTCATATAAAGAGAAACATTATTTTCTTCTGTCACTTGCTTTCTAGCACTGTGCTATGCCTCAGATGTGTATGTCTACATATAGTAAAAATCTATTGCTACTGATATGTATAAAGTTCTCTATTATATGATATAGCTCATTTAACTTCTGTTTTCTGTTTATGGTATTTGATATTTTCCAAGGAGGTTGTCTTAATTACATAATTCTTCAAGAAACCTTGATAGTAAATGTTGAGATTTTTTAAAAATAGCATGTTATTCCAGATACCATTATATGCTTAGTTTATTAATTGGTATCTATGGAATAGTTAAAATGTGCTTTCTGGTCATTTCCATGTTCTAAATATCTTTTATTTAAAATTATAATTTTTTTTAAGGACTTGGGGTGCAACTCAGGGGTAAAAATTCATTCACTTAGTATGCCTGAGTCAGTCCTCATTATAAAAAAACAAAGAAAATCAGTGAAGAAACAGTTAAGATATTTCTGGGCCTTTGACAGTAATAAAGATTTTAAGCACTAAGTATATGATATTTGCAAGATGAAAATGCTATTGACAGCCAGGCAGTGGTGGCGCACACTTTTAATCCCAGCACTTGGGAGGCAGAGGCAGGCGGATTTCAGGCCTGGTCTACAGAGTGAGTGAGCTCCAGGACAGCCAGGGCTACACAGAGAAACCCTGTCTTGAAAAACCAAAAAAAGAAAAAGAAAAAGAAAATGCTATTGGCTGATTTAAGGTGTCAGATATAAAATTCTTTCTTTCTATGCTGAGCCCATATGGAGAAGAGTTTCTGTTTCTTCTTTCATTTGCCCTTGAACTTAATTTTTGCTTGCAGCATAACTTAAAATTACTAACAGCAGCTGGGTGTACAGGATGTCTACATCCTGTTGGTAGTCACCAGTTGCATATTGTAGTATTTCAGAGTAGTGCCTTCTTTGGGTATATCTTCTAGCCAGGAGTTAAACAGGAGTCTGGGCAATGTCTCTCCTATTCTCCAGGTTATTTGCGTTACAATTCATTCCTAAAGCTTATTGACCAAAACTTGGGTTCATGCTTAAGAATGTAAAGTAGCAAGCAAAAACTAAGACTCTGCTTGGTGAGACTCAGTTATCCTAATTTTGCCTCCAATGCGCCCTTTGACAAATCAGTGCTGTTGAAGAAAAAGCCATGTTAGATCATCATTTGAGGTCTGTAATCAATATGTGAAATGGGATTTCACCTGTTGAGGATCTGCTTATAGAGTAAGTTTTGTTAGGATGTTTGAGAAAATTCCAAATATATCCCGTCTCCCCTCTAGGACGATCGTTTAAGAGAACCTCTGCAGAAACTGAAGCTGGCTGTTAGCAACGTCATGCCTGAACAGCTGTTTAAATACCAGGAGGACTGCCAGGCTCGCAGTCAAGCCAAGTGTGCCAAGTACGTCCCTCTGCTTGGGGCTGCCTTTTACAGACAGCACTTTTAGCTGATGTTCTTAAGTAGTCCTCTTTGTGAAACCATGTATGTCATTGAAATGATGTCATTGAATTTTTCCTAATTGTCACTCCACTCAGCTGCTTTGCTGTTAAAAGCACAAGGCTTTATCTGGTTAATCTCCATATTAACAAAACAAGAACCCAGTCAGGCGTGATGGGACATGTCTGTAATAACAGCAATTAGGTTTCAACAGGGTGGTTCAGGTTCCAGACTAGAGTGCACTTCATACTGGAATGCTGTCTCAAGAAAAACAAAAGGCTAAGCTCTGATGCTGGTTAGGCATGTCCCATGCTGACCAATCTGGCTAAACTGGAGCTGGACACAAACAGCTTTTGACCTAAAGGATGAACATCTGTGCCTCTGTGTTGTAGTTCAGAGGCCTATTTACCCGGCCACTTTATGCTAATTCAAAATTTACCATTGTGTGGAAATACAGCTTCTTGTTTGTTCTGTTTTAAATAAACATTTGGCTGAGCAACTCTGAGTCTTGTGAACTCTGGGTGAAAATTTTGCTTCATAAAATGTTTTTCATTTTTTAGGTTGCAAGCAGATGAAGAACGGGAAAAAAATGGATCCGATGATGATGATGATGAGAAACCAGGGAAGCGAGTCATAGGCCCCCGAAAGAAATTCCACTGGGATGACACCATCAGGTAAGCTCTGTCAGTCATCACTTAGTCAAAGATAGAGTGAGGAGAAGAATCTGCAGCAGAAGAGGACTAGACTGGAAGCAGTCAAAGACTAGTTAGTACGTAAGAAAACAAGCTCACAGATAATAATCTGGTGCAATCACCTCAGGGTGTTGGGGCTTTGGTTTCTTTCTTTCTTTCTTTCTTTCTTTCTTTCTTTCTCTCTCTCTCTCTCTCTCTCTCTCTTTCTTTCTTTCTTTCTTTTTTTTTATTTTTTTTGTTTTTCTTTCTTTCTTTCTTTCTTTCTTTCTTTCTTTCTTTCTTTCTTTTTTTATTTTTTTTTGTTTTTCGAAACAGGGTTTCTCTGTATAGCCCTGGCTGTCCTGGAACTCACTCTGTAGACCAGACTGGCCTCGAACTCAGAAATCCGCCTGCCTCTGTCTCCCAAGTGCTGGGATTAAAGGCGTGCGCCACCACTGCCGGCTGGGGCTTTGGTTTCTATACATGACATTCAATCAGCTATTCAGTGGAGTGGAGCCATTCTGGTTGCAGAGGACGGGCATGTAATAAATATACTTGTGTGAACTGTTTGCTTGCTGTACCCCGGGGCAACAACTGTTCCCTTCACTCACTTAAAGAAAGGTACCAAAGGCCATTGTTTAATGGTGGGGGTGAGTGTGTGCAATGAATGGCTAGTGTTAGAACTTATTTCTCTTATCATTGTCTGATTTCTTTAGCATTTGTGTGCTTCAAAAATACCTGTTTGGAGTTTTATTTTCTTGAGTTTCACAATTCATATTTCTGTATCAATATATATTTTTAATCTATTTAGAACTTTGTTATGTAACCTTGTTGAGATCAAATTGGGATGCTATGAATTAGAACCAAATAAAAGCCAGTCTGCTGAGGATTATCTTAAATCCTTCATGGAGACCGAGGTGAAGCCACTGTGGCCTAAGGGCTGGATGCAGGCAAGGTGAGAAACGTGCTTTCTGGGACTTTGATGTGTTTTCTTGCTAATTTTATTAAATATATATTTACACAAAAACACACTACATTGATTTTGCTAAGAAATTACATTGGGAGGGGTGGTACATGGGAAGATTTTGACATAGGAAAGAGAAAGTATAATCTGAAAAAAATTATTTAAAATAAGAACTTATATGTTCAACATTCTATTACTATATATTACAAGCCAGGGCTACATTGAGAGATCCCCATCTCAATAAAACAACTACGTGGGGGAGGGGGGCAGGTAGATTATCACCAGTTAACAAAACATGTCTTATGGAAGCAGAAATAAGATAAGTATAAAGATTTTATTTTGTTTTTAATTAATTTGTTTTCCTTTTTTTTCCTTCTGAGTTTAGTAGTAGGAAAAAAGGTTGTGAGATGGTAGTTGTAAATTTGAGGGGCTTTTAATGCATAGAAAGGAATGACAGGCTGGATTTAGAGCCGAGCTTGAATGGTGGCACACACTAGTAACACAGCACTAATGAGGATGATACAGAAGGGTTGTAGGTTTGAAGTCAGCTATAGCAGAGAATTCCAGCTTGGGCTTTGTAAAACCCATCTTAAGAAACAAAATGACTATTCATGGTGGTGCACTCCTCTAGTTTCAGTGCATGGGAAGCAGAGGCAGGAGTCTCTGTGAGTTCAAAGCCAGCTGGGTCTACATAGACCAAACTGACCTTGAACTCACAAAGATCTGTTTGCCTTTGCTTTCTGTGTACTGGAAGTCACCACCGTGCCAGGCTGGAGTAATTTTAAGAGAATAAAAAAACCAAATTGGCTATCAGTGTTTTGTTTTGTTTTGTTTTGTTTTAAGATAGGGTTTCTCTTTGTAGCCCTAGCTGCTTTGAAATACTCTGTGTAGACCAGACTGGCCTCAAACTCAGAGAGATCTGCCTGCATCTGCCTTTCTAGGGCTGGGTTTAAAGGCATGCACCACCAACACCCCACTTCAACCTTTTATCTTAAAGTAACATAAACCTTTTCTGTTAATTTGTTAAAACTTCTAAATACAAAGAAACCATATAAGACTTTTCATGAAATGCATTATTGAATAAAGTTATTAATACTTTTGTTTGGTAAATAAACAAAATATCAAATGATTAAGGATTTTGAGTTCAAGGTCAACATGACCTATATAATACTACATTTGAAGCTAGTCTGGACCACACAGCAAGGTCTGTATGTAAAACAAAAACAGTAAGTGAAGTAATTACCATGTTAGTTACTATAAAAATAATGTTGTCTTTTAATGTTTCCAGAATGCTTTTTAAGGAAAGCCGGAGTGTACATAATCATCTTACTTCTGCTCCGTGAGTAAATCCTGATTCCAGATTTCTCCATTTGTTTTTATTCATGTTATGGCTTTAAGAAACAAAGATGGGGCTGGAGAGATGACTCAGCAGTTAAGAGCTCTGACTGTTCTTCCAGAGGTCCTGAGTTCAATTCCTAGCAACCACATGGTGGCTCACAACCATCTGTAGTGGGATCTGATGCCCTCTTCTGGTGTGTCTGAAGATAGCTACAGTGTAGTCAAATATATAAAATAAATAATTCTTTAAAAAAAAAAAAAAGAAAGAAACAAAGCTGTTATACTAAAGTGCTGACTCACATAGGTAAGACTTAAGGCTGCTCTTAGGTCACCTCTCTGTTGCCACCTTTGGTTTGGTTTTTATGTAGTTTTGACTGGTGACTTTGGAAACAGTCCTGAGATAATCTCCCAGTCTAGATTAGTACTCTCCTGTGGAGAGCTATGCAAGGAGCTTCGGTTAGCTCCTCTTGTTCTTACAGTCTGCATGTGTAACTATGTCAGATGACCTGAGCATACAGTGTTCTTCCTTGTGTATGCAGAAATGGATATTTCCTTAGTAAAAATAAAAAAAACAAATTTCTAGGTCTGCAAACTGTTTCCATGAATAAAAGCACTTGCCTTATAAAACTGACTTGGAGCCCTAGAACCCAGAGGCAAAAGGAGAAAAAGAACTCCTGAAAGCTCACCCTGATTCCATATGTACTGAGACATGTTTATATCTATACACACATGTTGTCACTCATGAATAAAATCAAATTTTTAAAAAATGTTAATACCAAAAATTGCACACGGGTCCCAGCATATGTTAGGCAGGTGCTGTTCTTCTCAGCCACATGCCTAGTGCAGTGAGACTACTATGAAAGGCTGAGCCTTTGTTCTCCTAATACATAGGCGAGTGCCATGTTTTGTTTGTGGATGCTTTGGAGGTTACATACTGATCCATTGGGAAAGTAGCTCAGTTCAGTGAGTACTTACCTACCCTTGGTTTTATCTCTAGCACTTCAAAAAGGGTTATTGAAATCTATACAGTTGTAATTTGCTTAGCACTTTAGTGTACCTTTTAATTATCATTTGGGATGATATAAAACTGCTGCTCTCCTTTTATACATACAGTTAGAAGACACAGAAACTTTTAGTGTGTAGAAAGGACACTTTTAGTGTATTATCAGAGATCTGTTGTGTTTCAGTTACTCTGTTTTCGCCTTTAAGACAGAGTCTTGCTCTGTTGCTCAGTCTGGTCTTAATGGGCTCCATGTGACTCTCCTGCCTCTGCTTCTCAAGTAGCTCAGATCATGAGTATATGCCACTATGTCTGGCTCCCATCCATGCCGGGCGGGGAGCTGCATCCTAGCCCACTCCTCTCAGCCTTTAAAACATAGTTCCATTGTTACTGCTACCTTTGTGTTTTGTTGTATGTATACATGTATGTATATATGTTTGTTTGTATTTTTATCAGAAAATAAGATAGGTAAGCCAGTCAGTTGTTGGTACTTTAATCCCAGTACTTGGGAGGCAGAGGCAGGCAGATCTCTGAGTTTGAGACCAGCCTCAACTATGGAGTAAGTTTCAAGATAGCCAAGGCTACACAGAGAAAGCAGCCTGACAAGAAAAGAAGAGAAAGAAAGAAAAAAAGAAAGAGAGGAAGAGAGGAAGAGAGAAAGAGAGAAAGAGAGAAAGAAAGAAAAAGAAAAGAAAGAAGTTTCATGCCGGTTCCTAATTTTCAAAGTCTCTTGCTTCATTTATTTTGAAACTGAGTCTCACTATATAGCCCTGACTGGCCTGGACCTTACAGTGTAGACCAGAGTGACTTCAAACTCACAAAGCTTTCTTCTACCCTTTTAATTAATTAATTTGTTATCATTCTAACAATTTTATTTGATTTTTTTCAATTGAAAATATTTTTTTTTGCTGGGCAGTGGTGCCACACACCTTTAATCCCAGCACTTGGGAGGCAGAGACAGGTAAATGTCTGAGTTCGAGGCCAGCCTGGTCTACAGAGTGAGTTCCAGGACAGCCAGGGCTACACAGAGAAACCCTGTCTCGAAAAACCAAAAAAAAAAGAAAAAAAAAATATATATATTACATATATATATTGTACTTTTGTAAGATGTTTCTTTCTGAATAGATAAAGTCACACTGGGTAGTAGTAGCAGCTTTTTCTCTCTTCAGGAAATGTAAACATAAGGACTACTGCTCAGTTTAGAAAAGGCTATTTCTTCATAGTCCTTTGGTTAATATAATCTTATATACCATTATATTCTTGTGGACAACTACTTCAGGAGTTTTTTCATCAGCATACTTCTCAGACTTAAAGAGAGACATTACAAAAACCTCAAGGATGTTTCCCAGTGGTGGAAAGAGAATAGTCTGCTGTAATCTGTAGCATATAACTACTTTTGAAATGACCTTCATTTTAATCTTTTACCATAGGGCAAAGAAAAAGGTGATCCCTGCATCAAAACCCAAAGTCAAGGTAAGAGTCCACCAAATCTGTAGTTGGTCCTCATTGGTGAGTGTTGGATGGATTTTTAAGATGAAAAGAATATAAGCTGTTTAGCAAAGGTTAATAGGTCCTATGCTAAATTCCTTGATTTCAACTTCATAAAAGTCCATTTGAAAGGTTGTGGAGCAGTGGGAATTTGCATACATTAATTCTATATAAAAATATTGGATAAAATGAAACAAATGTTCTTTTAAAACATAGTTGACTGGGCATGGTTGTATGTACCTTTAATCCTAGCCCTTGGGAGTCAGAGAGGAGTTCAAGACCAGCAGAGATAGTTCTAGCATATCTGGGGCTACACAGAGAAACTGTTTCAAAAACATAGCTAAGGTTGTAATTAGAAAAGAGCAAGTCCAGAGTCAAAGAGAAGCTACCCAGTTGATGGTCTGTTACTGAGGCCTCGCTGCCTTGGAAAGACTGCCCGTCACTTCATGGAGAGACCACATGTGGAGTGAGACGTTGTGGTTTCTTTTCACTGTATTTTCAGAGTATAGTGGGTAGGTTAGTACAAGTCAGAAATAGGAAAAGAAGCCAGTATAAAACAGATCCCTGCCGGGCAGTGGAGAGATGGCTCAGTGGTTCTTCCAAAGGTCCTGAGTTTAATTCCCAGCAACTACATGGTAGCTCACAACTGTCTGTAATAGGATCTGTTGCCCTCTTCTGGTGTGTCTGCAGACAGTAGTCTTTTCACGTACATAAAATTAATCTTTAAAAAAAAAACAAAAGGCAAACAATCAGGCCCTGAAAGAATTACATCTTTAGTTACAGAGTGAGGAGAGAGGGGGCAGCAGAGAAATGAAGACAGTTATGTCTTGACCAAGGGCTTAGATTAGAGAAGGACAGTCCTGCCTGAAAATGTCCCCTTTGTTAGGACTTTAATTTGCTTTACTTGGCAAAGCCTTTAAGGTCGCTGGCCTAGGACAGCAGATAAAAACAGGTTTTGTGCCATGTACTGTTTCACATCCTAGGCTTACGTACTGATGAGTCAGACATACAGGCATAGACCAAGCTCAGACAGAGTGAAGACTTTGCATGCCAGAGATCTGTGCTTAATCTCACCACCACAGAAAAGACCCAGAATAATAATAAAAATAAAACAAAACAAAAAAACCACAAAAAAAAAACCAAACAAAAGGTATGAGCTTACTGTCTGAAATACAAACTGCATTGGGAGGCAATATAATTAGTCAGTGGACACCACAAACAATTAAATCCCCAAGAGGACAGTCCATAGATTGTTAATTTAGAACATAAAATTACCTAGGCATAGTGATACTGATCTGTTATCTTAGCACTCTGGAGGGAGAGGCAGAAGAATTGCAGCATGTTTGGGGCCAGTCTGTCTTCTACATAACTCCAGGTCACTCGGATACATAGACCTCCTCCTACCTCCAAGAAAAAAGAACATAAAATAATTTTAACAGTGCTGAGGAGAAGCTGGATTGTGAGCCCTCCCACATTTCTTCTATTCTTTAGCCAGGAACAAGTCTTCCTTTGCTACAAAATGAATATTTAAGGTGGAAAAGTAATAAAAAGCAGATATATCCATAACATGCGTGGGGCTTACTTGGTAAGTGCTTACTCTAGCATCCTTGAAGCCCTCCCATCACATAGGGCAGTCATGGTAGTACAGGACTGTACTCCAGCACTCAGGAGGTGAAGACAGGCGCATCAGAAGTTCAAGCTGATCCTCGGCTTGATGGAGTTGGAGGTTAACTTGGGATAAAAAAAAAGATGCTGCCTCCCCCCAGAAGAGATACTTAAAATAGAAATTTTGTGCTGGTGATACCTTTGATATTGCTGCCCCCACAGTCCATCTTTAGTACTCTAATGTTAGTAACAGTGTGCTGGGACTGTCCACATGCTCAGGCACGCGTCCCAGGGTTACCCTCATCTGAGCAAGCAGTGGGCCCTAATGCGGTCCTACCCACACTGCTGTAGAGTGAGGCTTTTCAGTTGCAGTTGTTGGAATAAAGTTTAGGACAAGTGCTGTAGAAGTCAGAGTGTAACAGCGTTCTTAACAGCTTACTTACTGTAACACCGTAGGAGGTGATGGTAAAGACCCTTCCTGTCCGTTCTTTCCCTACTATGCTGAAGGTAAGTGATGTGCCTATACATCAGTTTATAAGACTCTGCCTGGGCTTGGGACTTTTTCATTCTAAGAAACTAACAGCACCTCTGAAATGATTTATTAATCTGTGCAGTAGTTTTGTCTTTATCTTAAACATGAAATCTAGCACTTTATATTACTCTCAACAAATAAATGGTTGCTCTCTAACTTGCTAGTATTTTTTCTCTGAATATTTAAAACTATAATTCTCTTAACTCTTCCTTGAATTTTAAAAACGTTAATTTAACAGACAATATTCTCTTAGATGTTTAACATTTTAATTACTGATATCTTCGTTTTCTTAGGACAGTAAGACTTAGACTTAAAATTTAGACGAGTATCTTCTCACTTGTAGGAGACAGTAAACACATATTTGATACATTACAAATGACGTCCATCAAAATGAGTAGAATGATTTCAATATGGTTGAATAACTCACTACTTTCCTAATGTACTGGTGGTCGGGAGCTATCGAAATACAAGGAAGCAGAGAGCAAGAGTCAGCATCCCAGCAAACTTATTAGACAAGAGTCATGGTCTTGATATAAAAGTGAAGCCCTTTCCAAGCACCAGGGCAGTGAAAGTGTCTGATACGCTGGAATGGACAGCAGGTTCTGGATTTCTGATTTAAGTGGAGTTAACGAGTGATGTCAGTTAGTGTCCTTTAGCCCCATTTTCAGGTCCTGGTAAGATGACTTGCAAGGACATGGTGGTATAGTGTGTCACACACTGTTATTTGGAGAGCTGGGTAGAGAGTACTGTCTTAATGTTATTTTGGTTTTGACAATCTTTTCAAGATTTCTAGCTTTAAAATACAGGGTACAGGGCTGGAGAGATGGCTCAGCGGTTAAGAGCACTGACTGTTCTTCCAGAGGTCCTGAGTTCAAATCCCAGCAACCACATGGTGGCTCAAAACCATCCGTAATGAGATTGGATGACCTCTTCTGGTGTATCTGAAGACAGCTACAGTGTACTATTCATAAATAAAATAAATAAATAAATCTTTAAAAATAAATAAATAAATGAAAATAAAAAAAAAAAATACAGGGTACTTTGGCATAGACTTTTATATCAGTACTTGGGAGGCAGCGGCACATAGATCTTAGTAAGTTCAAGGCCAGCCTAATCTACATTAGGAGTTCCAGAACAGGCAAGGCTATAAACAGACCTATATCGGAACAAACAAAATAACCAAAAAAATAATAATTTTAGTCATCATAAGAATTTTACTCTTAGCCGGGCGGTGGTGGTGCACGCCTTTAATCCCAGCACTTGGGAGGCAGAGGCAGGTGGATTTCTGAGTTGGAGGCCAGCCTGATCTACAGAGTGAGCTCCAGGACAGCCTGGGCTATACAGAGAAACCCTGTCTCGAAAAACCAAAAAAAACAAATAAAAAATGGAATTTTAGTGTTTTATAAAACAAAATTTGAAATTTGTAATTAATTCTCTATCTTTTTTTCTAATACAATCAATGCTACGTATGCTAGGAATGTAGCCCCAAAAAAGACCCCAGAGCTCCTGCGTCCATGGTGGCTTCAGGTGGCGGTCCTTCCACGAGCGCCAGCACATCCATCGCTGCCTCAGCCAGCTCCAGCTCAACACCAGCTCAAGAAACCATCTGCCTTGATGACTCCCTAGATGAAGACCTGTCTCTCCCCTCAGCCTCACTGGATCTTGTGTCTGAAGCTTTAGCTGTCATCAACAATGGGAACAAGGGCCCCTCAGTTGGTTCAAGGCTAACTGTGCCAACTACAAAACCTCGGCCAGGACTGAGAGAAGAAAAGCTAGCAAGTATCATGAGTAAGTTACCACTGGCTACTCCCAAAAAACTAGATTCTACTCAGACTGCTCACTCATCAAGTCTTATTGCTGGTCACACGGGGCCAGTACCAAAGAAACCCCAGGATTTAGCTCATACTGGTATTTCTTCAGGCCTTATTGCTGGTTCTTCAATTCAGAACCCTAAAGTTTCCTTAGAACCTTTGCCAGCCAGGCTACTCCAGCAAGGACTGCAAAGGTCAAGCCAGATACATGCTTCTTCCTCTTCACAGACTCATGTCTCCTCCTCCCAAGCCCAAGCTGCTGCCTCCTCTCATGCTCTGGGAACATCAGAGGCCCAAGATGCTTCTTCGTTAACACAAGTAACAAAGGTGCACCAGCACTCAGCTGTCCAGCAGAACTATGTGTCTCCATTACAAGCCACCATTAGTAAATCACAGACCAACCCAGTGGTGAAACTAAGTAATAACCCCCAACTTTCCTGTTCATCCCAACTACTCAAGACTTCAGATAAGCCACTGATGTATCGCCTCCCTTTGTCTACCCCATCACCTGGAAATGGTTCTCAGGGGCCCCACCCCCTGGTTTCTAGGACAGCACCGAGTACCACTACCTCCAGTAACTATTTAGCCAAGGCTATGGTGTCACAAATCTCCACGCAGGGTTTCAAATCTCCCTTTTCAATGACTGCATCTCCCAAACTTGCCGCATCTCCCAAACCTGCCACATCTCCCAAACCTTTGCCCTCACCTAAGCCTTCTGTTTCACCCAAGCCCTCTCTGTCTGCTAAGCCTTCAGTATCTACTAAACTGATTTCTAAATCCAACCCAACTCCCAAACCTGCTGTATGCCCAAGTTCTTCTAGTCCAAACACACTAGTAGCCCAGAGTAGCCACTCCACAAGTAACAACCCCGTCCATAAACAGCCCAGTGGAATGAACATCAGCAGACAGTCTCCCACTCTGAATTTGTTGCCCTCAAATCGCACTTCTGGCCTTCCGACTACAAAAACTCTTCAGCCCCCTTCTAAACTAACAAACTCATCATCCACTGGAACTTCTGGGAAGAACAACATGAGTGGACTTCCAGTGAATGTGCCTGCCAGCAGAGGTAGCAACCTTAACTCAAGTGGAGCTAATAGGACTAGTCTATCTGGGGGAACAGGAAGTGGAACACAGGGTGCTACTAAACCGTTGTCTACCCCACATAGACCAACCTCTGCCTCAGGGACTTCAGTGGTAACAGCCAGTGTGCAGGTATGTATGGACTGTGTATTTATATAATGAATGTAAGATTGAGCAACTTTCCAGGTGATACATACAACACGTAGTATGTGTTTAAAATGGGCTGATGACAGCCACGCCTATGAAATGCTCTCAGTGTTGACATCATAGTGCTGGGGGAAGTTTTTATTGGAATGTGGGTTTTTTATTTTTCAACCAAGTATCATGTTAGGCCATGTGTGTGGTGCCATACACCTGTAATCCTAGCACATGGAAGGCTGAAGCAGGAAGAACTGAAGGCCAGCCTGGGCTATATGCAGGGGATTCTCAGCTAACCTAGGCTGCATAACAGAGTCTTAAATAAAAATAAAACTTTAGAAGGTGGGCACATTAGCTCAGTGATAGTCTCTCTAACTTTTGAAACCTCAAGGTCAGTCCCCAATACCAGGAAAAAAAAAATCACATTTACCTTAACATTTGTTCTGTAAAGCAAAACTTGAGTGGATATTTAAAACTTTATCTCTTAGCCAGGCATGGTGGTGCACTCCTGCAATCCTAATTCTTGGCAAGATGGAGGCCAGCTGTTGAGAAGTTCAAAGTTATCTTTAGTTACACATCAGGTTCAAGGCCAGCATGGGCCATATGTCACCCTGTGGAGAAAAGAAAATCTCCACAAACTCTCTCTTACTAAAAGCAAAAAAAAAAAAAAAAAAAAAAAAAAAATAGTAGTAGTGCAGGAGTTTAACATATTTTCACTCGACTATCTTTTCTTCTGTCTTTATGTGTGAGAGAGGGCATGATGTTCATATTGGGTGCAGTGCTTAAGAAGGCCAGAAGATGGCGACAGATCCCCTGGAGCTGGCGTTACAGGCAGGTGTCAGCCTAACTTGGATGCTAGAAACCAACCTCTAGTCCTCTGAAAGAGCAGCAAGTGTTTGTTCTTAACCACTGAGCTACCTTCTTTAGTTATTAAATCAAATTTGTACATTTGTATTATTTTTCTTTAAGCATTTATCCTCTCTAAAATTTTATTTTACATTAACTTTTTAGTTATGTGTAATACATTAATGCCTATATGCCACATCTTCCCAGTTGGTTAATTTTTAGTGTAAACTTGCCCTCAGTTAGTCAAGGCCTGTTTGCTGGAAGGAACATAAATAGTATTTCCTTCACCATTGCTGTTGCACAACTGGTCACATCTTTGTGTACTGTAACACTTACTGAGAGTGCCCTTCCTGGCTCTCAAACTGCCACTCAGAATTCCTTGTATGGCATTTAGGATTATAGAAAAGTCTGAGGCTGTGATGATTATATTATACCCTTTTATAAGTGATGTGTTTGCTCTGCAGAAATGAGTACAAAATGTACCTTTTAAATCCCAGTATTCTTAGACTTATAGCTGTGTTTATCTAATTAAATTAATTTTGTACTTAGGACATAAAGAACCTCAGACCTGACTATTTTTTCAGCTCAAGAATATTTTATTTTCAGTCAGTGAGATGGCTGAATGGGTAAAGGTGCTTGCCACCAAGTGTAACGACTTGAGTTCGATCTCTGGGACCCACATGGTAGAAGGAGAACAGACTCCCGAAAGTTGTCCTCTGGCCTCCACATCCACATACCATGGCACCAAGAATAAATGTAATTTTAAGATTTTTTTTTTTATAAAAATAAAGACTATGTTATTCTGTGTTTGGTAGTTGTTTGTGATTCAGTGCTTTTTTAGATTTAGACATTTTAGAGAGTAGACATTTTTATACAGACTAGACTGGCTAGGACTCTACTGCGCTCCTACCTGTTCCTGAAGCTGAGATTCCTAGCATGTGCTGCTACACCCAACTTAGCTGAGGGCCTTTTTTTTTTTTTTTTTTTAAGATAGAATCTTCCTGTGTAGTGCAGGCTAATTTCAGCCCAGGCTACTTCAGGATTGTAGCAATCCTTCTGCTATTAGTCTCCGAACTGCTGAGTGATGTTGTTCATATAGTTCATATAGCTCTGACTTTTAAATCATCATGTACTGTGTTCATTTTTCTGCCTTGTCTATATTTTGAGGCTTTCAAGAGACTTGTTCTTCGCATTAATGATGTGACTTCTTTAATATTTTTTCCTCCTGGAAATAATGTATATTCACTGTGAACAGATTTAGAGACAAGAAAAAAAGCCACCTGTGCACACCACCTGTGCACACTACCTTTTATTTGTAGGGTGTTTGAAGGCTGTTTTCAAAAAGCTATCTCATATAATATTATGTTGTAAATACCTTTTTGAAAATATGTATTTTATCAAGTACAGGTACTTAAGTCTGTGACTCATGAGAATGTCACTCACCTGTGAAATGAGTTGTCTAAGTCAGTGCTTTAAGTTCTTACTGCTTCCTAGTTTGTGAAATAGTGATTTAATGAAGTTTCCCCCTTGCTGTTTGTAGAGGCTTCATGCAGTTCAGTGTAGTGTAAGACGTGGTGTGGAATGCACATTTACTAATACCAAGTCATCCTTCTTCCACTTACGTCATTCTTTCCCATTCCTGTGGGCTCAGGAATACTAATATAGAACAAATTTAATTTATTGGCACGTCACTGGTTCAAATCCATATTAATGTTTTGTCTTTGTAAAAAAAAGTTTTCATCATAAGAAAATAAAGCTGAGTAGTGTTCTTCACCTAGATCCCAGTACTCAGACAAAAGGATCACTTGAGCTCATAAGTTCAAGACCAGCAAGTTAGTAAGACCTTACGTCAAAGAGAGGGTTAAAGAAAAGGGGTAGAGAGGTAACTAACAAAACTCAAATCATTGATTATGGGGATTATTTGTTAAAATTGTTAATTATAGATAAAATCTGAGAATTAGCCTTCATTACTGTTCATATTTGCTAACAAAGCAACTTTCTAAAATTAACCTTTAATTTGATCAAAGGAAAAAAAATGAAATTCCAACAAAAATAGTAGTTCCTGGTTTCTACTCTCTTTAACTACCACAGTTTTGTTTTTTCTGAGCAAGGCCTTCAAGAAGGCCACTGCTTCCCATGTGCCAGGGTGTAGGTGTGCACCACAGTGCCCAGCTTGAAGGACTAAGGAATGGCAGCCAGGGGTGGTGTGCTCACCTTAGTCCCAGGCAGAGGCAGGACATCTCTGAGTCTGAGTTCAGCCTTGTCTTCAGTGAGTTCCAGACCAGTCAGGGCTCCATAGTGAGACCTCATACAAGGAAGAATGAATGACAGACTTCATTTTATAAATGTTACCATTGGTTATCTTGTGACTTCCATTATAAAAATAAGAGTTTCAGTTCTCGTATAGCTGTGCCGTTTTGCTGAAAAGGTGATCAGATTTTGGTGAAATCTTCTGTGACATATTAGTATTGTCTTTGCTGCACTGTCAGAGTTATGGCTTCATTACTTTCTTATTATAAAAGGTTAAGGGAGTTTTCTACACTTTAAACTTGGTTTTGTGTATTGTTCTTTACTTCATTGCCTTCAAGTACCTTCAAGTACCTGGTTAAATTCTTCACTTTTTTTCACCTCGGAAATCTATCTGACCTTCTTGTATTTGGTTATCATTTATCCCAAAGGAAGCCACTCACTATCTTAAGATAAATAACTGATCTGTCAGCAAGAAAATCTGTCTGCATGACAAAATCTGTGCCCCAGACAAGTTCCTTCCTGGTACTCTTCCACTCCCAGGTGGCTTTATGACTCGGAAACCCCAAGGTGCCCACCTTCTTTGATCTGTTTTTATTTCTTACTGGTTTGACTCAGGAAGAAGTCAGCAGTTTATTAACATTATGTAGCCTCTGCAGCTGAGTAGTTGTTGGTATGCAATAGCATCTCTGAAGTGTTCTCAGCTGCTCCTAGCCTCCAGAGGCCGATGTTCCTTGATGAGGGAGTAAATTTGGGACCTGTTGGTCTCGAAGGCTGCACCTCCTGTCTACAAGGCATCTGCAGGGCTATCTGAAGCACAGTGAAAAGATAGGTCATTTAACAAAGGTTGGAAGTTCAAATCTTATTATTGATTCTGTCTACTTTCTACTTAATAGCTTTCCTTCCAGAACGTTCTCCCTCTTTCTTGACCTTCCACTTACTGACTTTGTCTGACCCCATATTTGCCTCTTTATGATTCTAGAAGTCATCGTTCAGTATGCAAACTGAGTACTGTGTGCCAAGCTCTCTTCTCTGTGCTGGGGAACCAGGGTGAACTATACCCACTCTCATGAGACATACCTTTTAGATAAACATGAGTTTTTTTTTTTTTAAAAGCATGTGCTATGCAAAGATTGTTAAAAATTGGTTGTTGCTAAGATAGTAGACGACAGAAAGCCTGTTAAAGGAATTTGAGCTGAGAGCTGGAGGAACAGGGCACAGCCATGTGTAAAGAAGACAGGAAATTGGTATGGGCTAGAGGAAACAGCCGTATAAAAATGCCAAGTGAAAGAGCCCTCGTGTGCTGTGCGAGCAAAGTATAGGGAGAGACCCACAGTATGTCAAGGGGACCTGGGATTTGATATTTACACTGTGTGGAAGGGAAGCTGTTAAACGGAGGTCTTAACTAAGAGAATGATATAGCTACATTTCAGAGTATTATTCTGAGTGAATGGGAAACAGCTGTTTCACCAAACAGAATGAAAAGCTGTAGACGAACAAGTGCCTGCCTGAGAAATGCGATTTCCATTCATATTTTTTCTCAAAATGAAGAAAGCTTAGAAAACATGTCTGATTATGGACACTATATATTCTGCTTACCTAGATAATGTTGACAGCTTTTCTATGCTACCAGATGTTATAAACTGTGAAGTTTTCTACTTCCTAAAGTGCCCCTTTACGTAAACTTCTGCATGACAGTGTAACATAGAGATTACCCGACATTCCAGTTAATAATAAAATCAGATTTGGAAAATTCTTAAAAAGTATAAAACATTAGTTTTAGCATATTTTTTTAAATTGCTGATATCCAAGTTATTTTTAAAAATAGGAACTTAGCCCAGTTTATCTTCTCTGTCTGTTGTAATGCTTCAGTTAGATTCTTGCAGAAGGACTTTAAAAAGGTCAACTCGTTTGCATGATTTGCTGTTTTTACTGAGGGAGTCCATTCAGGATACAGCCTTGGAGGCTGACTTGAAACTACAATAGATGTAATGTTTAAAAAGAAGGAATCATGATTGCGTACGTTTAAACTGATACAGGA